ACTTTATTTTCCTATTTCTTCTTCTTTTATTTTTTTCTTCATCTTTTATTTATATTCTTCAGGATTTCTTCTTTAACTCCAACATCTTTTTTCATATCCTTATTAATCTTCATTATTTTGTGTTCTCATCTGTTTCTTATTCTCCATGGTTTTATTCAAATTCGTCTTTTTGAGTTCTTATCATCAACTACATCTTTTTCTTTATACTTATACTTCTAAGTTATAAGAATTATACGTGAATAAAAGTAAGAGCAATGTATATAATTTATTAGAAAAATTATTTGTACATCCTTTTTAACAATAAATAACAATTATGAATGGGTAAAACTAATAACAAGATATAAATTATTAATTAGCAAAAATTAATTAGAAATCTGTTTAATCGTTTATTTTTATTGATGATTATTAAATTTAGAAAGTACATTAGGGAAATTAATTAAAATCTAAACACAAAAAAAAACTAAAAAATTGTTAAAATAAGATAATTAAGGTAAAAAATCAAAGACATTGCAAAGAATTGATGAAACTTATACTAAAAAACATTGAATGGATCTCTAAACATGAAAAAGATTCATCATAGAACCTGCACGTAACAAAGCAGTATACATCGTTCGAAGATAGCTTCGACCTACTCGGTATCATCGTGAATTAAGCCCAAAGCATAACATGCATCTTTGAAAATAGAGTGGACAACACCATTAATTGTTCTTATATCCATATAAAAACAATTATCCCGGATAAGAACAAACAATTATCATGTCCTTTTTGAATGCCCGCCTGCACTACAAACTTGGGCATTATCCTGGATACCAACACCCCCTGGGGTTTTTCCGGGGCCATCGGTTTACTCAAATTTTGATTATCTGTTTTAGAGACTTCCAAATAAGATAAATAACACTCAGTTTCCATGGATCGCATGATATATTTGGAAGGCACGGAATGAGAAAGTGTGCTTGAATAAGGATATAGATCCACATATTACATTAAAAATAGCGGAAACAGAAGCGTCATTATGGGAGGAGGCTCAAAGGTCTGAACAGGATTCGACCCTTTGACCTACGGTGGCTGGTGGTGTTATATTGATAGCTCTTGGAAAGATACAAATTTATTAGCGGGATTAGGATGATACTATTTTCAGGAGGGTGTCACGGAGAAAATAATGGGAGCACAGAATATAAGATGAAGCCTTACGCCTCTACATTCAGAAATGGAAACCCTGATATGGGCTATGCATTGTATGCTCGAGAACCAGAAGACGGACGTAGCTTTTGCAACAGACTGTTCAGAGTTCCCGGAAGGATTCAACACAAGAGGAAGCTCAAATTTTGGTACAATCTCATCTTCTAGTCTCTCTCTCTTTAAAAGGCATTTCCTTTCCAAAAAAAAAAAAAATCCGAAAATAAGAAAAGAAAGGAAATAAAAGCCTTAGAGAGTCTCGAGAGGTCGAATTTTAAGTCCTAAGGCAACTGGAGTTTGATTTTATGGAGTTTTGGAGATTGTTTTCTGATTCCCGGAAAGAATCTAAGTCTGAGGGAATAGCTGTTTACAACAAAGGAGGAAGGATTATGCAACAACATTTGGCAAGAAGAAGTGACTGAAAAATGTGGTCATCAACAGGTCCTTATCTCTCTTGCGGTTTTGCATATTATCTTGCATCCTCCAGATCTTCAGGTAACCCAAAAACACTTAAACTCCACCACTTAAACAGCCCTTTAATACCAAACGCCGTCTACCCTGGATGATGTCTTTAATGAGAACTCACTATTAAACTTAATGAATGTAGAGAGCTAGTTGACTGGAATCAAGATTTAGATTGTTTAAGTTCTGCATGACGAAAAAAGTGGACTAGTATCTCATGTGCATTGGTGAGAATTTTCTAGACTAAGTTGTGGATTGATGCACTATCTTTGGTCCTAGTTTAGGAGTTCATGTCTATGAGATTTGTGCATTCTCTATTATTGTTTTCACTTAACCAGTTTAGGCTTTTGCTTTGTTTGAGGACAAACAAAGGTTTAAGTCTAGGGGAGTTGATAACACCGTATTTTGACCACTTTTATGGATCGTTTTGAAATACTTTTTCTATGTTTTTAATATTTTAAGTACTTTTATTACGTTTTTCTAGTATTTGTAGTTCCAAGACTCTTTTCAGGTAACTTAGGGAAAAGCTTAACAAAATGGATAGAAAACCAGATTTCAGCTCAGAGTCAAACCGTCAGAAGTTCACCCCTGATTGAAGGCCTTCTCACCGTCTGATCCAGCTCAAATTTGGAGACCTTAAAGATGGAAGTATCAGCTTTCCAGTGCACTTTACAGCTTGGCAATCCAACGGTTCAATCAAAAGATACGTGAAGAGCAAGATGTCCCGTAAACCAGCCGGCAAGCACTTCCACCCGCGGCCAAACACTCATTCCCCGCGGTCACACTCGTCCTGACCGCGGCCATCAACCTCCGAGCCCAAAAAGCCCATTTCTGAAGCCCACATTTGGAGAAACCCTAAGTGACGTCCAGAGAGGTCTTGAGCACTATAAATACATGTCTTAGGAACCCTAAGCGAGACAATCTCATCACCACCGAAATATTTACTTCATATTTTTATTGTTTTTGCTTTAGCTTTTAGGGAGAGAGAGATTTGTCTCTTGAACCCTTGTTCTTTCTTTTTCAATTTCGGTTTCTATTCTACTTATTAATACTATGCTTTTGATTTCGTTCATTATGTCTGAGTAGTTTTATTGTTGGGATTAAGGGATTTTCGATGGGGATTTATATGTTCGATGAGGATTCCATGAGCTTTTGAGCCGAATCTTAGAACTTTTTCTTCTGAATTCGTTTTTACTGCATGAGAGTAGCGTCATGAACTACAATCTGATCCAGATGCTTGGTGACACGAAAGTGTTCATCCGGTATCAGATCTAGTTTGGGAGAGCAAAACAAACATAGGAGTGGAAACCTACCTATGGGAAATTAGTGAATTAGGACGAGTCTTAAACATAATGCATCTCTTCTCTTCCAGGGCCAGAGTGGAAACCTACTGGTCACGGTTGAGAGAGATAGTTGTCTATGATCACGACAGTGGCGTATTCATACGTCCGTGACTCCAGTTCGAAAAGTTTAAGCTAAGATCTTATCAAATTTACTCTCTAGCAATGTTTTGAATCGTTCGTACCCCTGAGAAAACTTCCCTGAACCCTAACGCCTTCTTTCTCATTGATTTACACCGATTTTCTTTCAAGCTTTAGTTCAATATTGTCTTTCCTTTTTAGTTCATTTTCATTTAAGCAATTAGATATCCGTTTTTCACATTTTTAGTCATTTCGTTAAGTTTAGTTATTACGTCATTTAATTCCCGTATTCTCTTTTAATATTTCGTTTTTACATTTTAAACACACTACCAAACCCCCACAAAACCGTTTGGTTCTAGACTTCCTTACTTTATACTTATTTTAAAGGCTTTTTGCAGGAAAAGATCCTCCTTCCCTTTGGATTCGATCCCTAAGTACTACAATTGATCAGCTGTGCACTTGCGGCTATTGATTTCAATTAGGGTAAAACTTGACAACCCTCGACACACCACATCAAGTCACCACACACACCACACCATCAATCATCATCTGAAGTTGATAAGTTACAAAGAGATTCATCTTCTGCTTCAGCGTCTTCGTTTCGTTATCAATTTCTTCGCAAGGTTGAATACCCTCTACCAAACTATCAACTTCGATTTCCTCAATCTGACCTATTAGACCGACATCAACTGTTTGCTATTTCTAAAACATGTTGAACTTGACATTCATTCTCTTTTAACGATGTGAGACTTTTACCACTTCAAATTTTTTAACTTTATTGACAGACTACTTTGCGACACAACAGTAATGACAGAAAAACGTGGCAAAATGGTCGCTGATTTGTGACTACGTTACAACTACATTTCCTGACTAAAAATACAGTCGCCATGTAGTCGCAAATTGAGACTGATTTGCGACTATCCCTAAAAACTGAACTATTCGTCGTTAAATAGTTGCTAATTATCGACTACTTAACGACGCCCAAGTTTCGTCATTAATTACCGACTAATATGTGTTTATGTTTTTGGTAGTCGCTTTGTCGTCGCAAAGTAGTTACAAAGTAGTCGCAAACGGTAGTCGCAAAAACTGTGTTTTCTTGTAGTGACAGGCTTACCAAAGTTCAACATAACTCAAGAAGGATGCGAAAGCTGTATCATCAGCAAACACAGCCGTGACTCATTCCCAAGAGAGTCTGAGTCAAGAGCCATTAAAAGGCTGGAACTTAGAGCACCTCCATTGAGGGCTTATAAGAAGTTTATGGCACAGACATATGGGTTGAGCCTTTTTAAATTATTAAAAGAGGTCCAAAAGTTAACATACAGGCGTTTAGTTAATATACTTTGAGAAGAGGTTTATAGGACACGTGGCAATATTGTATTGGCCGCGTATTTTTCTACTTTTTTGAGGGAGAAGCCCACTTTTGTTTGCCCGATATCATTTTCTCGATAGGAAACGAAAAAAAATCGAAACCTCATTCTCTCCGGCGATCTCCGGCGATTCTGCGATTATTGAACTCCTCGAAGAGGCATTTTGACAACGAAGACAGGTGTTTGTCGACTCCGGTTGCGAAGGTAATCGTCTGTTTCTCTTGTTTTTTGTTTTAGCGAGTAGAAATTTTATTGCTGCAAAATTAGGGTTAGTGAGTCTGGGGATTTTTGGGGGTTTCTTCATGATCTCAAACAACCGATATGGTACTTAGTGATTTGCGAAAGGGAACATGTTTAATTGCTTCAAATTTGCGAAATTAGGGTTTTACGATTTGGGGAAAATTGAGGGCTTTTTAATTTCTGGGAAATTAAAGACTATGTTCGTTTGATTTTTTGTGAAGTGTGGCTTAATTGATGTTGCTGAGCTCGGTTTGTTAGGGTTTATGTACAAAAGGGAAATTCTGATAAGTTGGAGTGATTTTATTAGCTGAGTTCGTCGTTATATTGTCAGGAAATGCCGATAAGTTGGAGTGAACCCAGCTCGGAAGGTCCTGAAGAAGACATGGCATGGGCCTACGACGATGCAACATATGGGATAGCCGAAATTTATCCGAAATGGGCAACATTTGTCCAATCTATACCGGTTCCCCAAGATGAGAAAGATAAATTATTTGCTCAAAAACAAGAATCTGTCCGAAAAGATGTCGAAAGAGCTTTTGGAGTCTTGCAGGCACGATTTGCAATTGTTAAAAATCCAGCTTTGATATGGGATAAGGAAAAAATCGGAAGGATAATGAGAGCATGTATCATCTTGCACAATATGATAGTTGAAGACGAACGAAACGGATATACGCTAGAAAATATTGCAGAATTCGTTCATGGAGAAGGAACCAGATCGTCTCAAGTGGATGTGCAATATTCTACAAATACGCCTACCAATATAGACAATGTGATCGGTATTCGTAATGATGTTCGTGATAGAGAGACACATTATCGTTTAAAAGCAGATTTAGTTGAGAATATATGGCAGCAATTTGGAGGGAATGACAATTATAACTAAATTTGTATTTGTAATATCAATAAATATTTTGATTTTCATTTCATGTAAACCAGTTTGTGTTTTTTTCAAAAAAATGTATGTTTAAATTATTTTTTACGAAATAAAATTTTTAAATATAAAAAAAAAATATTATTTTTTTATTCCTATGAACTCCTAAAATCGGGTTCACTGATGGACACAAATTAAAACACAAAGTTCATCACTGTACACATACTTTAAAAATATTAATAAAAAATTGTTAACAACCCTAAATAGGGTATGACTGCTGGAGATGCTCTTATCCACAGTGACTTGTGTGGACCAATGCAAAACACATCGCTCAGCGGAAGCAGGTATATTCTTACCTTTATTGATGATGCTACTCGAATAGTATGGGTATACTTTCTTAAAGCAAAGTCAGAGGTCTTCAAAACGTTTAAGAGGTTCAAGAATCTTGTTGAGAATCAATCAAACTCTAAGATTAAACGGCTCAGAACAGATAGAGGATCAGAATATCTATCAGGAGAATTCACCAAGTTCTTGGAGGACTGTGGCATTGAAAAACAACTGACAGCGGCTTACTCTCCACAAAAAAATGGGGTTTCAGAAAGAAGAAATAGAAGCTTGGTGGAGATGGCTAGAGCAATGATTAAAGCCAAAGGTCGTCCTTTAAAATTTTGGGAAGAAGCTGTTTATAATGCAGCTTATGTTCAAAACAGAACGCCGACTAGAGCTCTCAAGAATACTACTCCTCTTGAAGCGTGGAATGGTACAAGACCATCAGTTGGACATATGAAGGTGTTTGGTTGCTTGTGCTATGTTCACATCCCTGATGAGAAGAGAAGAAAATGGGATGACAAGTCAATTGCAAGAAGAGCTATATTTGTTGGATATAGCTCACAAACTAAAGGATACAGAGTATTTCTCTTCGATGAAAACAAAATAAACATCTCAAGAGATGTCATATTTGATGAAGAAAGTAGTGGGATTGGACCAGGAAGGAAGCTGTAAAAGATTACAAGATTTCTATTGAGAATGACGAAAGAGACCAAGATCAAAGAACTGAAGATGTTGAGCCAAACAATGATGAATTTGTTGATGAAGGATCTACATCTCAAAGTTCAAATCAAACAAGTTCAGGAGGAAGTTCTAGTCGTGTTAATAAGAGAACAAGATCACTCACAGACATTCTTCTTACGGCTCCGTATGCAGACTTAGAATACTCGGCTATAATGGAAGGATGTTACAGTGGCTTAGAGGAACCAGCCATATTTGAAGAAGCAGTCAGACACAGCGAATGGAATGAGGCAATGGAGGAAGAAATCAAAATGATATAGAAGAATGGAACATGGGAATTGGTTAAAAGACCATCAGACAAAAATGTAGTTGGAGTGAAGTGGATTTACAGACTGAAAACAGATGCTAAAGGAAATGTGGTGAGACATAAGGCGAGGTTAGTTGCAAGGGGTTTTACTCAGCAATATGGTGTTGATTACTTGGAAAAATTTGCTCCAGTTTCAAGACATGAAACTATCAGATTGCTCATGGCAGTTGCAGCTCAAAAGGGTTGGAAACTCTTCCAACTTGATCTCAAATCTGCATTTCTAAATGGGAAGCTGGAAGAAGAGATTTATGCTGAGCAGCCTCTCGGTTTTGAAATGAAGGGAAAGGAATATCATGTTCTCCTGCTGCACAAAGCTCTTTATGGACTTAAACAAGCTCCAAGAGCTTGGTACAACAGAATGGACGAGTTCTTTCAAAGAGAAAAGTTCAAGCGAAGTGACAATGATCATGCTCTATATACAAAAGAAAGCAATGGTAAGCTCTTGGTCGTATGTATATATGTTGATGATCACATTGTCACAGGAGATGATGAAGGCATGGTAAATGAGTTCAAGAATACTATGAAAGATGAGTTTGAAATGTCAGACTTGGGTTTACTGAACTACTTTCTTGGAATGGAGATTGTGCAAAAACAGGATGGGATATTTCTTTCACAAGAATGTTATGCCAAGAAGTTATTGAAGAAATTCAACATGGAGGACTGTAAAATCATGACTACGCCATTGATACCTCAACGCAAACATCAGGAAGAACAAGAAGAATCTATTGATGGCAAGGTTTACAGAAGTCTAGTGGGAGGTCTGTTATACTTAACTGCTACAAGACCGGATCTGATGTTTGCTGCCTCTTACTTGTCTAGATACTTGAAGGAACCAACAACATCTCATCTCAAGGATGCAAAGTGAGTTCTGAGGTACATCAAGGGAACTGTTGACATGGGTGTATGGCTTACTAGAGTGAAAGAAGCAAGTCTTGTTGGTTACTCTGACAGTGATTGGGGAGGATGCCGAGAGGATTTGATATCTACCACAGGATATTATTCAGTATTGGATCCGCAGTGTTTACTTGGCAAACTAGCAAGCAAGATACCATCGCTCAATCAACAGCAGAAGCAGAGTATATGGCATTATGTGCATCATCAAACCAAGCAACATGGTTAAGAAGATTACTTGGAGATTTGCGGATCAACACTCAAGAAGAAGTACATATTTACTGTGATAGTCAATCGGCTATAGCTATTGGGAAGAATCCAGTTCAGCACAGAAGGACTAAACGCATCCAAATCAAGTATCATGTCGTTAGAGATTATGAGAGGAATGGGGAAATTCAGTTGAGATTCTGCAAAGGAGAGGAACAACTAGCTGATGTATTTACAAAAGCTTTGAGTGGACAAAGTTTTGAGAGATTTTGAAACAAGCTCGGTTTGATTCACAAAATGGCAAGTGGGAGTGTTGAACAATGCATTTTGGTTTCAAACCAAACTAGAAGAAATTTAGTCAAGATGGAGTTGGTGGAACAGTTAAAGGCATGAAGAAAGATAAGGCTATATCTAGCCTTTTTGACTATGTTGAGTATTTTGGGAGAAAGGTGTAAGCTAGTAAAAGTTGTTGTCTATTATTTTCTTGTATAAGTCTAGTGTCTTGGAGTGTAATCGATAATCATCTTTTGCAAAATGAAAAACAAGATTGTTCAAGTTCGTTGTTCTCTTTCTTTCTAAACAAGCGATGAATCATATCAAAACAGAGTATTCTGTTTTGAGAAGAAAAACAGAGTATTCTGTTTTGAGAAGAAAAACATCACCGGCCTACAGCTGAAGAGGTGCTTCACACATTTCATTCACTACTACACTCCTTATGATGTAACTTTGCTTGTATTCAACTACAATTATGGTTTTATGTGTTACCTCAGGTGCTTGCGGATCCGTATTCCAAGGGTTTAGCTAAAGTTGAAAGAGAGCCTTCTGCTTAACCTGTCACAAAGTTAGAATTCGAGTTCGAGAGGATGAGGATCAAAAAAGAGGACGTGCGAGAGCTCATATATAGAGAGTCTCTTGAGTACCACCCAAAGATGCTGAAAGAATACTTGGATGGATCAGAGCCTACTAACTTTATGTACCCGAGGTGCTAGATTCAGTTGTTTTTCAGCTCACTCCCACTCGAACCTGGTAAAAATAATCTTCTTTTCCTTAATTGTTATGATCTAAAATATTTAGTTAAGTTATAAATCTGTGTGTTAGAAACTGTAAAGTCGATAACATATGTGACATAATTGTTCTATCAAAATCGAAAGTTTGCAACATTTTTTTGGGTTTCTTGAAAAGATCATTAGTCGTTTATTTGCAATTGATCCCAAATGGGTTAGTTAAGTCGCCAACTTTTGTGAGAAATTGCTCCATGAAAGTTGCATTTTTTTTGTGTTCCTTGATAAGAGATATTGAATATATAGGTTTGCGTACCAAATTACAACGGAAATTAAGTCTTTTTCTTGTGGGTTGTTTTCAGGTGTGATACTTTCCTGAGCTGACCGACCTGCTTCGCTTGTGTACTAGAATTAGTGAAAGAGCTTGGACACGTAGCACTGGGATGATGTTGGCATCAGGAAGTAGGCAATTGTGAGAGAGGGAGATCTCTCAACTGAGGTCAGATTCAGAGCAACTGCTCTCTGGATTTGTGGATCAAGCATTGGGGGTTGTAATCTTTTTTTATTTTTTTTGGTTAAATGGATTGTAACCTTAACCTCTGATAGTGTTCTTCGACTGTGATTTGTTATTGAATAAAAGTTGTTTCGTTCATTACATTTTAATTTCACTCTCATGTACAGGCACAACAATCCAGAAGGTTATTTATTGCTCTCAATTCTCGAAGGCCAGAGATACACAACTTTGTTAAGGTAAACTTTTACATTTAGTATTATATAAGTTAATTTTTACATCTAAACTCTAAAGCATACGAATTTTGATCTAGATTTTTTTTTCCTGGTCAACAAAAAAAACCATGGAAGATCTTCAAATCGCGAAAAAAGTTAAAAATATTATAGATGACCAGAAAATAACAATTAATTAAGATATGTTATCCATGAATGTCAAATAGCCATAAAAATTCAGTATAAATCTAGAATAACCATACCAAAAAAAATCCGCGCGTAGCACGAATGCTCACTAAAAATAAGAGTCAGTTGGGGTAATTTTGTCCTAATATATAGATCTCTCAGTCATTCTTAATGAAAGCAAATTGAATACTTGCTTTCCTACTTTCCAGACTTTCTAACAAACCTAAGTTCTTATTATTAAATTTTCTTTATTATTGTTAAAGAATATTTTTCATTAGATGGCCTTGATTAACACCTTAAATCCATAAAAAATACTCAAATTCACCCGACCAAGATTCTTTTAGTATTTGAAATAACTTGTAAACAAATATTGACCTTATATGAATAGAGGAATTGATTAAAAAACAAAACAAACAAAAATAGAAGAATTAAATGAGAGATAGTACAGATTATAGTATTTAAATTTACTGTATAAGATAGATATTTCAAGAAATCGATTACATTTTTTTAAGATTTATAAAACCGAAAGGGAACTCATACATCTTGTGACAGGAACCATCAATTAATGCCATAAAAGTAAATCATAAGAAACTTAGTAAGAATACATATCTAGATATGGTTTTAAAGATAGAAATCTTCACTTATATATAGAGATGTGATCATACGATTCGAAGATCATACAATATATGTCTAGTGAATGATATGTATACGAGACATACAGTTGTCTCATGAGCACTTGTTCCATGGTACTTCAACGCTCCAGCACTTATTTTCATCATACACCCTGAGACTAAAACAGAGTGAGATAAAATAAATTTACTAGAAATAAAATTTATATATAGGGGGAATCTCTTAAACGATAGATGTTTAGAGCACTTACATTATTAAGCTATCTTAGCTTGCTTGTTGCTCTCCAGCATTAGACCGAAGTGAATATGAGGAAAGTGTGCCCACTACAAATTAATCAGAAGATTACTTTTGTTTTATCCACAATGTAAGAGACATACCGTGTCATCTGACAGCCTTTAATTTTATATCTTATTAGTTTTGATAAGAAGATTTAAAAGATTCTACAGCTAACTTGGTTTATCAAAAGCCTATGTTTGACACTTCTATTTTGGGTTTGATTCTTGAGATACCAATAATTTTAATTCTTTTTAATAATTTTCACCCCCTAAAATTTAGTTTTGGATCCACCACTGCGTACACTTCTTTATATGGAACATCTATACATATACGAATATTATTATATGGAAAAGTGCGTACGTATATGCTACACTTGTACATGCGATAACACCATTATAAGGATCTGAATGGCAAACCATTTAAATTAATTTTGAACTTTTCATCATCTAATACTGATAAAGTTTTAAGTATAGAGAAAAAATTGTAAATGGTCTTTCTTTCATTGATTTTATAAGGAATTTTTCAAATAACATGTACCCCTAAATTTTAAAATGGCAATATCATGTTTATAAATTTGATTTAGCTTCTTAGATGATATCAAAATATATTTTACATCAAATCTGTAATTTTACTGATAAATATGTCCAATTATTTTAATTCATTTTTGTTATATATATATACATGTATCTTGAATTCACTTGATATTTATATAATAAATTTTATTAGATATAAAAATTTGCTACTTATATATATATATATATATTAATCATTTATATCAAATCACTCATGAGTTATGACTATATCTATTAGGAATTGCTTTACTTTAGATAGTTAATAATATCTGACGTCGTCAGTATCATACTACTGACTATAACTGCCATACTATGAGCTGTACTAAAGTAATTAGATTTTAAACAGTCGTACTACTTGCATATAACAAGTTAAAACAAAAAAAAAAGCAAAAATAGTATTTCTATATAATAAACTAATGGTTTTGTGACTATAACGGTGCAAACGGTTAATGAAGCACGTCCTTTTACAAGACGCCACAAACATGGCGGTCTGTGGAAGAGGGCATCATATGTAAATTTAAGTAATGAGGCCGTAATAATCCTTTAAAACTCATATATAATACTTTCAGACAAATACGTTCATATTTTGGGAATAGAAAATGTGAACATCTGTAAGAAAAATGAAAACGTACATTCTTGGCGGCGGTGCTGAATGCTTCTCTGTGGCTTATGTTTGGATTATTCGCCTTGATCCTCTGAATTTCCTCTCTTCACAGTTTCAATTTAAATGCAGAAGTCAATAACCCGTTAATTCTTAGCAAATTTTGATCATTATATAAAGTATTAGATTTGTATATATGTTTAAGGATTCCTTTTGTTACTTTATGAATTGATTGTAAGCAGAACGTACTCGCTGCCGCTTTTCTGGAGCTGAAAGACAATATAAAACTATTGATGAATTATATGCTGTTCTTACTAATTTGATTCTATATGACGAAATGGATAAAAAAAGGTAAGAAATGCGTTACGGAGACAAAGGCTTACGACGGTTTACAACTCTTTGCTCAGTTATGGTACGAGTTGAAATTCTGGAAGGGATTTTGGTGTGGCCTCTTGAGGAAGATCCATGCTCTGACATTGCATAGTTTGTTGCCTATCCCATTTTCATATTTAACCATCGATTAATTAAGAATATAAAATGCTAAGTTTAGTTTTAAATTACAAATTTCTTGGATTTTTCCGACTAAGAAATGATAAATCAGAAGAATTGAGTAGCAATCATGTATGTATTGTTTTATTTAGGAGATGAAGAGAGAAAAACAAAGTGGACTAACTAAAAGACGTTTTATTAAATGTTAAAGAGTAGTAAAAGACAAAACATTTAAAGAAAGGAATCTGAATATATGTAGGAAAAAAGAAAAAAAAAACAAACCCATGAAACCCTAACGTTCATATCAATCAAATCAAAGAGGAAGTAGCCCACATCAGTGTATAGATCAAAACATAACCTAGGGCTCTATGAAAAAAGCAATTATGGAAAAAGGCTGCAGATATCAGTCACAGCTGGAAAAGGAAAATTAAATAAATTTGAAAGGAAACAAAAAAGGTAATTAAGTAATAAATTTCTTTGGGGCTATATGCAGATGTAGACGGCGGCTGGAGGCAGAAACATGCAACAAGAGGCCCAGATCTCTGTCTATATCATTCTTCTTTCAAAACAAACAAAAGAGCCCTAAATTTCAGAGTGATTGTTCAAGTTCTTAAGAAATTGACAATAGACCCCTACAATTTAGGGAATCGTGAAGAGAGAGAGAGAGAGAAGTGACCTGGAAATTAGGGCGTGAAAGCGACTGAAGAGCAGCTACCATGTTTACAGACCACAGATTCGTGCAGTGGCCGCATCGCACTGTCACGATGTCGAATAGACTACTGCATGGGACACTCACCTTCATATTTTAGCCAAACACGAGACCTCATAAATATTGATTGATTGATTTGTCTACCCAGATCCATAAGATATACATCGACGAAAAGCTTATATGATCCTTATTCACTATAAACAATAGAAAATATATTGCTTTCAGGTTAATATAGACCAGATATTCATATTCCTATGATCTTTTGTGGGTTTGCAAGGCCAAAACAAAAGCAAAAAATTGGAATGAAAATAATGTAATCAATTTTTATTATAAAACAAAACAAGTGCCTTTAGATAGATGATCATCTCCCGTGGTGAATAGTGACAAATGCATGACCATACACAAATCTTTATCTTCTGATTCACAACTTAAATGATAAGTTTCATTGAGAACAGCAAGAAAAGAGAGAAGAAGATAAATCCATATGGTAAGGGAAAAAGTCGTGTATAACAGAAGGATGGTGACTTCTCTCTGCCACCAGAAGCTAAACGAAATATTTGTTTCTGACAAAAAAATTAAGGCGTTTTTTTTAAACGGATGAGAACAGATAATTTAAGATAGTGGAACTGATGATAAAGAGAAGCACTACTCTTTTATCAGAAACCAATATATAGTACTACAAAAGAAAAATAGGTGGATCTATATATATATATATATATATATATATATAATGCCTGATTATATCTTTATCGACAAGATATTAAAGAAGCATATATATAGAACGATTATAGCTAAAGCAATTATACCGCAAGGACTATGTTGCAGAAGTTGCAAGGGATGTAGCAAAGTTGCTCGGTCGCTGTCGCAGAGTTAGCCATGATCAATCGGAGAAATCAGACCAAACAAGTTGTTTGTGTTGAGGAATAATAGAAGATGAGATCAATTATATAGGTGAAAAGCTTCTAACTCACTCTCTCTCTCTACACGAATAGACACTAGCCTTAAAAACGGGTATTGTGTACTTAAACAATTATGCCAATTATGTAATTTAATAAATGAGAAAGATAATAAGCCTTAAGGAGAGGATGAGAGTTAAAGGGGAAAAATTATTATATGCAGTGTTGAAGGATTTGGGAATTTTGATGTAGGGTTGTGTTCTATGTATTTTAACGTGTAGGGTCCGGTTGACTTTCAAGGGATTGCGTACATTAAAATAAAATTTTCTAATTCAGATTTTGAGATTTACTAATCGATTAATCAGATGTTTATCGTCATTCGTACGTAATATAGATCTGTCCCGTTTTGTTATAAACGCTTTAGTTATTTTGGTTGACTGATTAGAAGGCAGTGATCTTCTCTTCATTTTTGAGTTTAATTAGAAGGAATTGTCGATAAACGGTGCGTATTGGTAAGGTGGCGATTTTTTGTGCGATCTAGGGTTTTAATTTCTTCAGCAAGATGTTGTCGATGGCGGCCTCTCCGCCGCGACAGAGTGAACTAAAGGTGACGGATCCAACTCCTAATGAACCGCAAGGATCTCAGGTACAAGCAGAGCAAAGTAAAGAGGTGGTGGAAGTGAGTTTGGAGATCTCAGCTCCGAGACGTGATGACCAAGGAAACAGTCTAGGGTTACAAAAACAGAAGGTTTCTTTTGCAGCGGTGGTTCAGAATAAGGCAGCGATGCAACAGTACGACTTTGCAGTGTAGGACATTGATGGTGTTCCGACAATAAAGGTTCCAAAAGAAGTTTTGGAGGACTCACCGCCTTTATGGGAAGACCTCCTCGTCGGGAAATTCCTGGACACAGCCCCATTCGTTGGCAAAGTTCACATGCTTGTCAACAAGATTTGGCCGCTGTCAGATTAATCGGTGAACATCGACGTTTTTGTGATAGACAAAACCACGATGAAATTCAGAACAAAAGATGCAGGTGTGAGAAACAGAGTACTCCGTAGAAGAATGTGGAACCTCTGTGACGTCTCGGTTATTGTTTCCAAATGGAGTCCCATAGCTGAGGAGATGCAGTCTGAAATGAAGACCATCCCACTTTGGGTGGTGGTTAAAAATGTGCATCGAGCAATGTACGCGTTGAAGGGTTTTGCTTTCTTACCAAGTCCCATTGGTGATCCCAAGTACCTGCATCCCGATACTGAACTCTGTAAGAACTTTGAAGTCGGAAAAGTATTTGTTGAAGTTGATCATTGGCCACCTCCTACAATTTCAAGTTGGAGGAAGGAGGAAGCGTTCAGGTGGCTTACGAATACCCGTGGTTACCAGCTAAATGTGGAAACTGTGACAAATGGGGACATAAAGAAACAGAGTGTGTCTCGCCAAAAGGTAGCAGGGAATTCATCCCGGTGAGCCCTTCAAAGGTGAAGCAGCAGGTTTGGGGAGAAAGGGTCAGTGAGAAGAAGGAGAATGGCTTGAGACAAGTGACTCAAGAGGAAAGAACGAGTATAATAGCGAATAAGGGGGGAATGTTGGAACAAAACCCATAAAAGGAGACAAAGGAGGGTGAGTGGACAATGCCAACAAAAACGGTTAAGTCACCAAGTAAAGGTCCAACCGAACTGAAGTTTGGGGAAGTAAGCATTCTAACCAACTCAAGGTTTGAAGCTTTAAATGGGAAGGGGGAACAAGGAGAAAACACTGTTGCGGATGAGTCAGGGAAGATGAGCGAGATACTCGATCTGAATCTTAGGAAACTCAAAGCTCTGTTTCTTTTAGTGAAGGAAATACAACTTGTTTGGAAGAAAATACTTGTCTCCATGGGAATTAGACCTCCACGGGGTCCTCAACATGAATGCGAGCCAACCACGAGGCAGTCTACAAGACTTGCAGCAAAAGAGGCTCAAAAGAAATCGTCAGTCACTCCAAAACACCTTTGATGTCTGGGTTTTTCTGGAACATTAGGGGATTTAACCAAAGCAATAAACAGTCACTAGTGAAAGATTGGGTGCACAGCAAAGGTTTTGACTTCGGTTGTTTAATAGAAACAAAAGTGAAAGAACAGAAAGCAAGCAAAGTAATGTCTGGGGTGTTCAGAGACTGGAATTCAATCACCAACTATAAACACCATTGTTTGGGGAGGCTGTGGGTGTGGAGGCATCATGTGAGGGTTACATCCATCTACAAAACATCACAACTGACTTCCTGTTCTATTCTGGTGGACAGCAGGCAGGAGGAGATGCTGATAACCTTTGTTTATGCATCAAACGTTATGGAAGAGAGAAAGGAGTTATGGAAAGATTTAAGAAACCACCACTCTTCAGCCCTGTTTAGAGGAAAGCCGTGGCTTATATGTGGTGACTTTAATGAGATATTGGATGGAGATGAGCACTCTCTTTATGAAAACAACCCGACGGTTCCTGTGGGAATGAGAGATTTCCGAGATTTAGTTGAAAAATGTGAGTTAACCGACCTCAGTTATCATGGGCCGAAGTTTACATGGTGTAATAAGAGAGTTGATTGTGTGATCAACAAGAAACTGGACAGAACCCTCGTTAATAAAGAATGGATCATCAATCATAGCCAATCCTACTGCGTTTTCGAACCCGGAGGCTGCTCCGATCACTTAAGATGCCGTATACAATTGAAAGAAGATAAGCAGAGGAAGAAGAAAGCTTTCAAATTCACCAATACGTTGGTAGATTACCCTGGATATAAAGGGGAAGTAAAAGACTTCCAGAAAAACATCATTTTACAACGGCCGAAATGGTCGTTAATTCGTCGTAATAGAGCCATTATGACGGACTATCGACGATTTCGAAATCGTCGTAAAATCATCGTCGTAATAGACAAATCGTTGTAAAATCATCGTATAATATACGACGGTTTTGTTTCGTCGTAACGTCGAGGGAAACAAAATCGTCGTAAATGCGTCGTACAGTCGGTCCACTGCATGTTTTGGGTATAATCGTCGTAAAACCGTCGTAAATTTACGATTATATTACGACGGTTTTACAATGTTTTTTAAAAAAGTGAGTAAACCCTAAATCTTATAAATGGGGTATTGCATAAATAACAATGCAAAGGTTATTGTATCCTAACATATAATAAAAGGTTTACAACTTTAACCTTTGCATGTATGATGGATTTATGACATGAGATAGTAAAAAATGAAATTCCGTAATCTAATATATAACCTTTCACTTAACATTTTCGAAAACATGCATGAACTTGTAAATATGTATGTTTTTTTTCAAATTTTTGATTTTGATCAGATTGATAGCATTTCATATAAAATAAGATAACCAATCAAAAACAATTGTGAAATACCTTACAACCAATAAGATATAAAAGATTCAAATTCTTGGATTTCAACATTACGATGCTTTTACGACGAAATAGTGTATTTGTCGTAAAATCGTCGTAACTTTACGACGATTTTACGATGGTTCGTCGTAAAGACGTCGTAATGTTGAAACCCTATTCATTCAGGGCTAAAAACCTAGACTTAGGGTTTAGGGTTTAGAAAAACCGTCGTAAAACCGTCGTAAAATCGAATTTTATGGTTTTTAAAAAATTCAAACAAACAAAGTTACAAATTACATAATAAAAAACATTCACTAAATACAATGCATGAAACTCAATCAGATTCATCTTCCTCTATTACTTCATCACCATCACCGTCTTCTTCCGCCAAATCGTCATCATCGGTTTCAGCAAACTCATCATCACCTTCTTCTTCTGTATCATCGGGAAGATCTTCAAGTTGCCTGTTCCGAGGGTCTATTAAGAAAAATCTCCTCATCAACATCTGGTTCAGACAGATCTACGCAAGTGTCCTGTTGAAGTGGAACATCCTCAACCCCTACAATCTTGCCCCTCGGAGCCACTTTAACTACAGCTAACCATGAAATTCATGTTGATCGAACTCGAGGGTATGGCAGAAACGTTATCTGTTCTGCTTAAGAAGCTAATATAAATGGCTCAAACCTGTTGTACCGTCGTGATTTGTTCACGTCAACAACTCCAAACTTGTTTAGACGTACCCCTCGTCCAACAGTTGGATCAAACCAATCACATTTGAAGAGAACAGTTTTCAGCCTTAACAATCCAGGATACTCTACTTCAATTATTAACGCCCCATCTGAATCTTTACGCATATACATCCAACTTCTTAGCTCGTATATAGACATCTTGAAAATAAACTCAAAATACTATCTCTTTTTATTGATTAGACAATAAAGGAGGTGGTCTCTTGTGTCATCTTGAAAATAAACTCAAAATACTATCTCTTTTTATCTTTTCTTGTAGTGTTCTGGGGGACCATGCCACCTCTTTTTCACTCCACTTCGGCCTATATAGATTTTCCAAGAAGCTTAAAGCTCTGAAACCTACTGTGAGGAAGATGGGAAGAGACATGCTCAGCGATATTACTAAAAAGACAAAAGAGGCTTATATAAGACTCTGTGAGTGTCAAAATGCTACGATGAGATCTGCATCAGCTCAGGAAGTGGAAGATGAACGGTGGGCTTATGAGGGATGGAATCATCTTGCAGGCATTGAGGAAAAATTCCTTAGACAGAGAGCAAAGCTTTTTTGGCTGAAAACAAGGGATCAGAACACAAAAGCTTTTTTCAAAACAGTCAAAATCAGAGCAACGAGGAATAAGATCAGTGAGGTGGTTCGGGATGATGGCTCTATAGTTTCGGATCCTGAGGGTATTAAACAAGAAGCTGTGAAACACTTTAGTGACTTTTTAAACTTCCAGCCCACAGACTATGACGTTTGGAAAGTACAAGACCTTGAGAGTATTGTGGATTACAGATGCGCCGATGCTGACAAGCAGCTTCTCACTCATGAAGTCACTGAAGCTGAAATAAAGAAAGCTCTCTTCTCCATGCCGAGAGACAAGTCCCCAGGACAAGATGGATGCACAGTTGAGTTCTTCAAAGAGTATTGGCAGATAGTTGGACAAGATCTAATGACTGCTGTGCAATCATTCTTTAAGTTGGGTTTCTTACCAAAAGGTATTAACTCAACTATATTAGCTCTTATTCCTAAAAAGAAGGAAGCCTTAACTATGAAGGACTACAGACCAATCTCCTGTTGCAATGTCATTTACAAACTCATCTCAAAGATTCTTGCCAACCATTTGAAGATCATTCTGCCCAAATTCATTGCACCAAATCAGTCCGCATTTGTCAAGGACAGACTTCTCATGGAAAA